AAAAAGTGCAAATAAATTGAAGAACAAAGAGAGAACAAGCAAGACAAGTATACAAGAACTATCAGGTTTTAGAAAATATACAGCAAGTAGCTGCTTGAAAACAAAAGAAGGTGGAATATTAATGGACAAAGGTAATTGTAAGATAGACAGTGTATATAAAAAGAGCTATATGATGATAACAGCAGACCAGACATAGATAGTCATGAGAATAAGAAGAACCGAAAATAAAGAAAGTAGAAGTGGAAGATGCTATAAAACACATGAAGAAATTTAATCCTCCAGGGCCAGATAACATCACAATTTAAGAATTAAAATCTGCTGGTGAACTGGGTTTAGAAGTTTTGACATAATTGTTCAATGATATTTATAACAGAGGACATGTATGTGATGACCTTTTGAAATCTCTTTTTGTACCTTTACCAAAAACACTTGGTGCAGTGGAATGTGGAGAACCTGTTTCTGGTAGCACCCTTCCCCCAGCCCGGACTTATATTTCATTTTTTTAAAAGAATAACACTGAGAACACTGCAGACCAAAAATGAAAGACAAATGCTGATTTACAATCAGCTGAAGTACTGAGACTACTAATAATAACTAAAGAAAAGAAATAAAATGTATCGGTTAGTTAAAGTAAAGTAAAGATCCCTTATTACGCTTTAGGCGCATCGGGTATATGGGCAGAGCCTCCCATATTTTTACAGACCAATCGGCACTGGATGGGTAATGTGGTCAGCATTACGCCGGCCGACTTTACTTTCCCAGGACAGCCATCCTGGTACTAAGGCAGACAAAAAAATATTTAATCAACAAACTTAAACTGGGATGGAAAATATAAGAAACATAACTTCATGACAGATTATTGGAGAGTCATAATGGGCAATGACTACTCACGACCAAGTTCTAAAGAAATGGTAAAACCGACCATTTGGTTATCACAAAAATAACTTTACAACTCAAGTGTAAAGGCTAGCACCACTTCTTACAAATTCCTAATGTATAAAAAGTTGATAATGATTTTTGTCTGGAATGCTATCAACACAAAGGGAAACCACTTTGCTAAACTACAGATATCGCCCTCATTTGATAGGATCATGGTAAAAATCTACAGTACTGAAACGTAACATCTGTTATTATTGTTTCTGAATAATTATTAAAAGCTAACACTAGTGTCAGAATTTTAAAAACTACAAGCTTGCATCATCTACTGCAACTTTATGTAGCAATACATACTGAACTGTTTAAAAACAAAAAAGAAGAAATGCATAGTTATCTGATGGCACATGTTTATTAAGTGACAGCAAATCCTATGTGCCTAAAAACGATCAGTGTCCCAGATACAAAAGAACTGTCAACTGATTGGTTGAATCCTAAGATATTCTTGTGCGCAAAATTATGTTCCTTTCAGTAGATATGGATGTCTATTTTTGAGCAGTGTATATTCTACTAAACATATACAAATTAAAATATCATAAAAGTAAATTTAAAAAAAAAGGGAATGTTACTGTGTTTTAAAAAAAAATGTTAGGTTATTTGTTAATATTAAAATTTTTTTTTTTAAATATCTATGGCCATTTTGCAACATATTCACTGACATATGAAATGTCGAGTTATAAAATGTGTAGTAAGGTTTAGGTAGAAGTTTGTGGAGAATGGGGAACAGAGACAAAGACAAAAACAGAGAGGGAGAAAGAGGAATAGAAAATGTGGAGAGTGAAAGGTGAAAGCTAGAGGGAGGAGAGAGATAAATAAGGGGACAGAGGAGAAAAAGACAGCAAAAAAGTAGATTTCTATTTTTAAAACACACACTCCATCTGCAGGATACTTCAGAAGACAGATTATTTTTAATGTATACATGTATTTCTATACAAAGCCAATGGAAATTAATACTAATCTCTAAAGAAAAATATTGTTTTTGAGTGGGCATGACAAAAAATCCCAGAAAAAACAAAATTCAGCAGTAAATAAGATTTACAATGTTTAACTAAATATAAAATAAATAAATCGCATGCAAAAACTAGTTTTTTATTATAAATTTGAATTGGGGCATAATACATTGCATAATCTATTGCCCGGCATTTCTTACCACAACTCGCTGGGAGACGCAATGTGATTTATGTATTACAATTGAAAGGATTTATATAGTGCTGTAGGCCTATGCTTCACTGCAGAAAAACAAAAACTTTAATCAAGTTCAGTCAGCTTAGATAAGCTTTTTGTTATAAGCATTTTGTTATAATTGTGACCTTTATCTGGTCATCCTTAGTTATAATAGTGCTTCTTGAATTCTTACTGAGTAATTCTGCTGAATATCTTTTATCTGGCTGTTCTACATAGTAATGGTGCTTCTTGATTTCAGACTAGGTGCTTCTTGTCCATGTCCATTGCAACTTTCTGTGGAGGACCGCACTGTCAGTTACGTTCCCCGTAAGAACTAATCCCTATCAGGACACATTTGGGAGGCAGTACCATGAATAAACACTCTTGCTGTCTCCCATGCTGATGTTGCCCATTATGCTTTACGTATATTTGTGTAAACCAGGGATTTTTGTGTGTGTAGGCAACAGTACATAGTAAAGGCATCTTTTTAGGCATCATCTTTTTAAGACCCTTTTATAAGTGTAGTACTTATTTTATACACCTTTGGGTGAGTACTGACCCCTATGTTTGTAGGAAAAACTTGGTGCAAATGCTTGGTAATGCATCTGATGAGATTCAGTGAAACATGACAGGTAATAAATTGTGAAATACATTCTGTGTCCCAACTATTAATATAATCATAGTAAATAATTAGTAAATCATAAATTAGTTTTAAAAAATTAAACTGTTACTGTTCTGTAACATTTGTCTTATATCATGTTTGCCTATGCAATAATTACAAAATAAATCCAGATCTGAAAAGTGACAGTTTCCGTCTTTGGAAAGATTGCTTCTAGCCACAGAGTGTATATGAGTTATTGAAATGCCTGCGTGAAAGACAGCTTGAAGATTGAGACAGGCTTTACTCAAACACTGCTGTTTTTTTTTAAATATTTAAAACTTTCTGCATGGTGAATGTATGGGCAAACATCCTACTTTAACACGGAAAATGAATTTTATTAATATGAACATAACACATATAGAATCTGTTTTTTAAATGTCTATGGAGATAACATATATGGAATGTGTTCAACATATGCATTCACAATAATGCATTAGTACGGAAACAGTGAAGTTGAGGCCCCATTTCTCTATAAAGATCCCAATACAGGCCTGATGGGTGGTGATGTTAGCTTCATGCAAAACATTTCCTGCTGTTTTCAAACTGGGCGAGCCTGAGAGTTCAATTTTGATCAGACGTTTCTAAATGGATTTGATATCATGACCACTGGGCTGCCAAGCAAATGTTAAGACCCCTTGTCCACCATGGCTCCAAACCACAGGCGCTACACTCATAAAAATACTTCTTCTTTTCTAGTCTTGTTCTGCCTTTCAGTGTCAGGTTTTGAAGAGGTATTGAGTGCAAGCTTTTTCTATGTGCTATGTAGATGCTGGTATTTACAACTTTGGATATTCCATCTATCCATAACTTGCATGGACTACCTCTAGATCTACTTCCATTATGTTCAAGTGACAGGGCTCTCTGTGGTACACAATCTGGTGGCAGTCAAATGTAATTTCTGCTTTTTCAATTTTTATAAAATACTCTTCAGAATTTATTGACATTAAGATGAATTCAAAGAAAAAAGTTTACACTGAATAATAAGCATCATTAAGCTAAGAATGTGTTAACTTCCGAAGGTCAGGAAAAGGTAATGGCATTGGATAGAACACTTACAAGAAAACCTGTTAACCATGTAACCAGTGTCCTTATGTTAAGTGTGTTACATACTATACGTATCAACCTCCTAGCACACTGGTCTAACCCACTCATGCTCTGTTCTCGCATGCAGCAGCCATCTCTGTGTCTCCATGCTCACTGCAACCAGTAGGAGTTGCCTGGCATGTTTTCTGTCTTTGCCCCGAAATCGGTTTCTGCCTGCTTGTCCTCTTTGAATACCCATTTCCAACAGGTGATTTATTGTTTCTGACTGCTTTGTCTCAACATCTCTGGAATGCAGTGCGTTCAGTATGTCTGTCCTGTATATGCCTCAGTACTAGAAATCATAAAGTCAAAGGAATAAAGACAAACCTTAAAAAAAAAAATGGAGTAAAGAATTAAGACAGGTGAAAACAACATGCAGAGCACAGGGTATAAGCTGCATGTGATGGCAAATGATAGGACAACTTATTAAGAGTAGGCTGATTGACGACCTAAGCTTCATTAGGGACTGGGGGTTTGGGGAGGGGGGAGGGGGGTAGAGAAATTAATTATAATAATAAACACACATCAGTGAGACATATTTTTCAAAACCTCTGGGAAATTATATTTTAAAATGTGCTGGTCGGGAGAGGGGAAGAAGCTGCAGCAAAAACTTACAACATCACTTTTGTTCTTCTGAGTGTTCATGGCACTGGTGATCATATCTGTCTTCGGCCTTCTATCTCATGAACTGCCAGTCATGTTTGATACAGATGTTCTTCCAAGCCAGGACACAAGTCTTAACATCCTCTCTTGTCTTAAAGGACAGAATAAGACCTGCATACCCAAATCTTAACTCTTTTACAATAAAGTTAGTTTGTTCCAACATCAAACTAAACCAATTGAAAAAACATGTTATAAAACTAGTGAACAGTTTATGGCATAAATATTAATGACACTTATCGAAATTTTAACAAAAGCTCCAAAAGAATGCTTACAAAAAACATGACATGGACAACTGACATCTTAATTTGTCAACATGGAAGGAAGACATAATAACATGGAAGAATAAAGGGCTGTAAAATCATGATTCAAATCGATTAGGAACATTTTAACTTTACTCCATCCATTAACATTAGCAGAGATCCATTGAAAGTCTACTGCTGTAAGTGACCTCTCCAATATGTGTATTGTCTATACATATATATGAGTCTGATCATGGTTAATGTTTTATGCCATTCTTTGTCTTGAAACCATTTGGGTTCTTGCTTTGCCAGTTCCACAAGTCCCGACCTAAATAGAAAATAACAAAAATGTATAGACATCTGGAAAATAAACAAACAAATAGAAAATCATACTGTCTTTGGAGATGTGGATAAACTAAAGAATAGGTTATATTTCAAGGAAGTTAAACCAATCAAAAACAAAGGTTCTGAAAAGATAGGAAATGAAAGCAGAGTTCTGAAGGAAATTTTAAAAAGATAAACAAATAAAATATTTCTGCTGCACTGAAAGAAGAAAAACTTTATAAAAACTACACTATCGTGAAAAAGTTTAAGGCAAGTCAGCAAGAAGCACACATTGAAACATGTGGGAAGATAACATCAAGTTGGAGATCACTGCTAAAGACAGTCCTACTGAAACTAGAACTTTCAAACATAAACATTCTTTTAAAAGACAGACAAAGCACTACCCTTCTGATTCTCTGGCTTTTGCAGAATGATTTGTTCTAAGCATATTGGTATTACCTCTGTGATTCTCATGCCTTCCACAACTGAACATTATTGTTGGCTAGAAAAATTAAGCTGGACAATAAATACTTGCAGAAGTCAGATGTGTTAGCTGAAAAGGGGCAAAATTTGCAGCCATGTTCTAACGGGTTACATCTTGCATAAACACAGAAGAAGATGATGAAAAAGAAATAAAAGAAGAAGAAGAAGAAGAAAGAAGAACTAGAAGAAGAATGAAGAAGGAGGAGGAAGAAGAAAAAGAAAAGAAGCAGAAGGAGCAAGAAGGAGGAGCAGGAGGAGGAAGAAGGAAGAGGAGGAGGATGGAGGATAAGGAAAAAGGAAGAGAAGGAGGAGAAGAAGAAAAATCGAATAAGGAGGAGGAGGAGGAGGAAGAAGGAGGATGAGAAGAAAGGGGGGGGGGGGGGAGAAGAAGAGGGAGAAAAAGAAGAAGAAGACTATCTATTTGAAAGATGGAAAGGTACCAAAAACAAAATAAACAAAATGCTACCAGTGGTTTTATAGACATTTCTCTTACTTCTTTGCCTTTATTCAATATTCGGCTATCTTCTGAATAACGGTCCCAAATTATCGAGGCAGAAAATATACCCTAACAGGGCCTCAGTCACGTGTCAATTGCGAACTTCCGGGGACTATACCGCCACCGCCGAATTGTGAACTTCCGGGGACTATACCGCCACCGCCAAGAGCATCCCCCCACCGCATTGGCCAGGACTCACAGATGAATAAAATGAAGGAAGCTGCAGGAAATGCGGTAGCTGCTGCTCGTGAGTCCAAGCCATCTAGTTTAGCGGCAATCCACGCCACGTGAGCGGCATGGGGGATACTCTCAGCGGTGGCGGAAGTCGCCAGAAGTGTGCAATTTAAGTTGCCCAGAAATGCGCAATTGACACATGACTGAGGCCCTGTTAGGCTATTTTTTCTGCCTCGATAATTTGGGACCGTTATTCAGAAGATAACTCCGCTAAGACCGGTCCCAAGCCCGGCTGTAAAAGGAGGAGGGTCTGGCTGAACCTGAGTGCTTCATGCGCCTCCGGAAGTAGTGGGTAACCGTGAATCAGCCAGACGGCCTGCATGGAGGCCGCAAGGAGGCAGCCCCTCCACCATGCAAAGGCACAACAGGCCAATCACCTGTTTGCCTTAAACCACGATTACAAGTAACTACAGAGAGAAAACCGGACAGATCTTAACGGCGACGAACTGGCATGGCTTATGGACTACGATTTATGGAACATGGAATATAAGAGGCATCAACGGGAAGGAAAACGAGTTAGTAGGGGAGATGAGGAAAGCAAAATTAGGAGTCTTGGCTCTGACTGAAACCAAGAAAAAGGGGCAAGGAATCACAGATCACGATGGAAGTATGCTGCTCTACAGTGGTGTCCCTATGACGGAGAGAGCCAAGGGAGGTGTTGGCTGTATTGTGGCCAGGAATCAAGTTAGTAACATCAAGGGATGGAAATTCATCTCAGAGCGAATAATGGTGTTAGATCTGAAAGAAGAAGATAAAATTGTCAATTTTGTCATTGTGTACGGGCCAAATGAAGATGAGCGAGTAGATGTTAAAGAAGAATTCTTTGAACTGCTCCAAAGGACCATAGATGACTGTCACAATGAAATTATCCTCCTAGGAGATCTAAATGCCAGAGTAGGAAATGATGACTCTAGATGGGGTGGAGTGATCGGGAGATATGGTGAAGATGTTTTGAATGATAATGGCAAGCGACTTCTCAGATTCTGCAGGGAACAGAACCTTGTCATTACAAACACAAAATTTCCCCACAAGCGTATACATGCATACACAAGATGTGAACCTTCAAAAAATGAAAAATCCATCATTGACTACGCCATAGTTAGGAAAAGTTCATTCAAGTTTGTGAGAGATGCCAGAGTCATGAGAGGACTAGAGATTGGAAGTGACAACTATCTGGTCACAATAAAGAGAACAACTGAAAGAACTGCTCCAACAAGGCAACACCGACAACCGTGCAAGAAACCAAGCAACCAAGAAGGGATGAGGATTAAAGCATACAAGCTAAGAGAGCCAGATATTAAGGCTAGATACCAGGAGCAAATAGTGAAAGCAATAGGAACTGAAGAAGAATCATCAGAGGACACTGAAACCCTCTGGTGCAGATTCAAGAATATCCTCACAGCAGCTGCAGTAGAAGCATGTGGTGAAGTCCCGAGTGGAAGGCGGGGACATAGGACACCTTGGTGGACGGAAGAAGTCAAATTGAAAATAGGAGAAAAGAAAAGGGCATGGAAGCAATACCTGGCAGCCAGGAACACAGCTGAAGAAATAGAAAAATATAAACAATATGTGGCACTCAGAACAGAGACCAAAAATATTGTGCTTAAAGCAAAACAGAAATCATGGGAAGAGTTTGGAGAAAAGTTGGAAAAGAATGCAAGAGAAAATCAAAAGCTGTTCTACAAGACCCTTAAGAACATGAGGAAGGAGAAAGAGTGCCCACTTAAATTCATAAAAGACAAGGAAGGGGCTCTGCTTACTTCTACAAATGATATCATGGGCAGATGGAAAGAATACTTCTCAGAGCTCCTGGGCGTTGAGGGAAGTCATGACCCAGAAATAATGGACCTCACTGCTGAGAAGGAATTCAATCATGGGGAAGATAACATCAGGATGGAAGAGTTGAAGGCAGCTATTGAGAAGATTAAGTTGGGAAAAGCAGCAGGTCATGATGGTATAACACCAGAGATGGTCAAATATATGGGAGCCGAAGGTGAGCGCCTTCTACTGAAGGTTCTCCAGGCAGCCTGGTGTAGCAAAACTATACCAAAAGATTGGGAGATTGCCATCATTATACCTATATTAAAAAAAGGTGATAACAGACAATGTGAAAACCACAGAGGCATATCCCTCCTCAGCGTTCCAGGTAAAAGTTACTCTAGAATTCTTGAGCAGAGACTTAGAAGTCTGGTAGAGCCACAGCTGGACGAGGCCCAATGCGGCTTCAGAGCAAACCGAAGTACTCAAGACCTTATCTTCACACTGAGACAAATGAGTGAAAAAGCCCTGGAATATAAGAGTGAGATGCACTTATGTTTTTTGGATCTGGAAAAGGCATTTGACAAGGTACCCTGGAACAAGCTCTGGGACTGCTTGGCAGGGAAAAACATCCCAGCACCCCTGATCAGTGCAATACAGAGTTTCTACAAAAGGTGCAGAAATTATGTAAGAACAGCAGACCAAAAGTCAGAAGAATTCAAAACCGCCAGCGGTGTTAGACAAGGTAATATTCTCTCACCTTACCTCTTCATTCTTATGATGGATGATGTCATCAAGACCTGTAAGGAGAAGACAAAGAAGTACTCTGTAGGGTACTGGAAGATGAAACCAATCTGTATATCAGAGCTGGCTTTTGCAGACGATGTGGCCCTGATAGCTAAATCAGAGGCACACTTTCAGTCCAACTTACTTGTCTGGAAGGAAGAGCTTGAAAAGAAAGGTATGACCATCAGTATCTCCAAAACTAAAACCATGGTGATCTCAAGAGAGGAGAAGAAACACCAGATCATGATGGGACAGTATGCATTGGAGCAGGTTAACCAGTTCAAATACCTTGGAGTTGTACTTGACCAAAACGGAGGCATTAAGACTGAGCTGGCTACACGAAAAGCAGCTGCTGGGAGACTCTTCCAGGCCATAAACCGAGGGTTTCTTAGCAAAAGAGAAATTGGCAAGAGGACGAAAATGGCTGTTTACCGCTCTACCTATGTACCAGTCCTGACCTATGGGTGTGAGTCATGGGCAATGACAACAGCTCACAGAAGCCAACTGCAGGCCTCGGAAATGAGATACCTGAGAAAGGTGGTCCAAGTGACAAGAAGGGACAAAGTCCGCAATCAGACAATACATCAAGATCTTGATACCCAGCCCTTACTAACCCGAGTAGATCAGTCACAGTTACGATGGTTTGGACATGTATGCAGAATGGGAGAAAATCGGCCACCATGGCAAGCATGGGAGGCTAAGAACCAGGGAACCAGACCTCCGGGACGACCCAGGGTGCTCTGGGAAGACAACATCCGACAGTCCCTAACTGACAGAGGACTGGAATGGAACAAAGCCAGAAAGAAAACTGCGGATAGAGATGTCTGGCGATCTCTCTGGCAAACCTCTACACCCCAAGGTAGAAGAGGAGCGACTAAGTAAGTATTCGGAAGATAGCCGAATATTCTATTGACAGCTCTGCTGAAACTAAAAGCCTTCAAAAAATGAATATTCATTTCAAAACTCTGAACTTGCAACAACAATAAAAAAAGAGAAGAATGAAAAGTAAACTTACACATGTCATCCAGACTGTATGTTGCCTTCCAGCCTAGTTCTTCCTCTGCTTTCTTTGGATCAGCACACATGGCAGCCACATCGCCGTCTCTGCGTGCCACAACTTTGTAATTTATCTGCATAAAATGAACAACGCAAAACATCTTTGATGAACAATTTCTTTCAAATATGCATGTGTTATCAAATATGATAACATTTCCTTATTAAAACATTTAAAATTTAATACAGGGGTTTCCAGTTAATTAATTTAAATAAACAGAGAAGGAACCCTTGATGCCATATAAACATACATAATAAACAAGGCCGTCACCCAGCTACTAAGTTGAGTGCACAGTGTGACATTGTGAGCTGCTAATTTCAATCTGAATATTTTTCTACTGTGACCAACGTGGTGGTGTGAATTGTAAATTCAGAAAATGGCACAATGCCTGTTGTTGCAATATTGGTGGTGCCATTATATGATTAAAATTGATCATGTGTGCAACTGCTGATCTGTTGGTGACTTCTGCTAGCATAAATGATGAACTTCATTTCTAATGTCGGACTGTTTGTGTTAGCACTTCTGATGGCTACTGTATGCTTTTAATGTGTGTGTATTCTTGATATGCTGAGACAGTAGTCTGTCAATCTTTCAACTAGGTACTGTGATAAACATTTTGTGTGTTTATTCATTGGCACAGGTGCGGAGCAACTATGGGGTGACCTGTTTGCAATGAATCGAAAACTAAGATAACATATAATATACAAACAGACAATGTATTGATCCACACTCATAATTACAAGAGATCAGCAGTTGCACATGCAATTAATTACATAAGACACCAACAGTTCTCTATCAAGAGGTCACTCACCATTTTCAGAATTACAGTCAGTTCACAAAACAAGCCATGCTAGGCACAACGGAAAAGCCTTCCGAATGAAATCTGCAGCTTACAGTGTTGCGCCAAGCATTTAACTCAGCAACTACAATTTTTGTTATCATGATTGGTACAGTTATATGACAGAAACGATAGCACTATACTGGACACATTCTGAGAACAGATGAATATAGATTAACCAAACAGGCACTGAAATGGAAAACAGGAAATTACTCATCCAAGCAAAACTTCAAGGCAAACTTTGATGGGAGTAGCCAAATTTGCCAGAATGGATTCCATAAAGTGATTGTACAGGAATAAAGAAATAGATTGTAAGCCCCATGTGACATATGGCACAACAGGAAAATGATTCAGATGATAAATACTCCCAAAAAAACCCAAAAACAAAACATACAAAAAGTGATAAAAGATACAAAATAATATTAAAATGTGAAAAAAATCAAGATACATGGTAAAAAAATAAGTAGATAGTAGTTGTGGAATAAGAAATATGAGAAGTGCAACAACAAAATATGTGTTTTAGGACTGATTTTAGTGATTTTCAGTGTTGAGACTGGTTTTATTATGGCCAAGACAAAAATGCCATCTATCAAGCAAAGCATGGAATCTAAAGGGACAACATTAATCTATGATCTGGCAACTTTTCATCACCGCTCGATAAGCAGACAACAAACAAGCAGCCATTTTGTTGACCTAGTCAGAGATGCATTGTTACGTAATCAGCACGGAGCAAAAAGCTAGCAAAAGCTCATTCTTTTTAAAACTCAGAAAAAGTGCCATTGAAACAGTTCAATTGATTCAACAAGTTTATAGGGATAACTGTTTATCTCGTACACAAATTTCAGGTGATATTCACGATTCAAAAGTGGTGTCGAAATGGTTACTAATGCACCTAGACCAGTACGCCAAATTTATGTTCGTAATGATGAACTCATTGCAAAAGTCAGAGAACGGATACAAAAAGATCATTGTTTTACTGTTAAGATGATGGCAGATGAATCTGGCGGTAATAGAGAGACCATTCATAAAATTTTAGTGCAAGATTTTAGCAAGAAAAAAGTTGCTTGTCGGTATGTACCACATTGGTTGTTGGATGACTAAAAACATCAGCGGGTTGAGTACCCAAGAGACATCATGAAAACAAGAATTTGTGGCCCAAAAAACTAGTGTGTGTTCTCAGCCTTCCACCTCATTTCCCAGATTTGTCTCCCTGTGATTATTTTCGATTCCCAAAATTAGGGTTTTGATTGAAAGGACACTTTTGATCAATTTTGATGACATCAAAAGAAGCGTAACATCGACTTTAACCCTACAAGACCGCTGGCCCCATTTTCCGAGAATTTCCTAACCTGCCTCTATACCGCTGGCCCCATTTTCTGGGAATTTATGTAAAAATATGCGTCACAGACTAAAAATAACCAGCCAATCGCCATCAGACTTCGTTGTTAGTCATTGCCAATGACTTCCCACGTGTGTTGAGATTTCTTTGTGTGGTTTGATGTGAAAAAAATTTGGAAAATTCTCAATGTAACAAGCGGCTTTGACAAGAAAGTGACTAAGTCTAGGCTTTTCACAGTCCAACAGGTGATCGATACTTCAATTAATTCAGACTGTGAATACGTTCATGAAAAATACGTTCCCAGTTGAAGTGACACAGTCAGTGAGAGCAAGAGTGAGGAGGAGAATTATGAAAATTATAGTTTTAAAACTAGATCAATAGTAAGAAAAGGGGGCGTGTCCTCAAACAGCAACATCTGGTGCTTACTTTGTGAAACAAGACTGATTTTACTAAGTGGATTGGCACACAAAGGTGGACTATTGGCGCTAGATGAAAGGTAAACCTATTTTCTACAATGTCTCTAAGTTTTATCTTATTCGAACCACTTGTTTGCATATAACTAATTTTTGTGTGCATCATTATGGTTTTTTCGTGTTTGTGCCCAGGAGCTCAGGTTATAGGGACAGTTAGGTTCAGGGCGTCAGGTCAGGTAGGGTTAAGGGTCATAATAACAGAACTACTACAGTGTTCCAGTGTTTGTTAGATCATGCCACTTGCTGTATCAATGCACTAGGGGCTTACTTTGAATAAAATGCAGGTTATATCTTCAACTGTTATTATTTTAATTTTTATGTAATTAGTCTCATTAGTTAATTGTCGGACCTTGTATACAGATAGATAGATATTTATATATATTCATATATAGAAATAAAATGTAGATGAATATATTTAAAAAGATTTATAAATGACTATGTAAAATTATAATTTTTAAAGGATGTTTTTAGGGAGTTCCCTGGGGCTATGACCCATATTTTGAGCGACACCAGTGACGGTAATAAATTTAAAAAGTAGTACATCTATACCTTTTTGCCACAGGCTTTCTCAAAGGCTTTGATGACATCAAGAACAGAGGAGCCTTTTCCTGTCCCTAGATTGTAAACCTGGCAATGAAAGATAAACTTGTAAATCAATAGCTATAACCCTTTTGGGAAACGAACTATACAAACGATCTTTCTCACAATATTGTGCTAGACAGCAATTTTTACAGATGAGTGGTAAACATCACACCAGCCACCTTTACTTTTCAGGGAATTTTCTGGTATCCAGTCTGAGCCTTAAACAATCTTGAAGAAAAAATTTCAGCTATAAAAATGTATGATAATAGAAACAATACTGGGGATGGATAGCTCTAGAGAGCTACAGAGGATAAATAAGCAGTGCTGTTGTTGTTGTTCTTCCATCACAAGTGATGATGACCAGTCTCTCCTCCACTGCTGACTGGATTAGGTTTTGTGGGTGCACAGATGGCTGATAAGGCCAATTCTAGTACCGAAAGTTCTTGAGCAGTGTGAACAGGGAACTAAGGCCGCATCTCTGGCTATTTGCTTCGGTGTCTTTTCTGGCTTGTCTTTTCTGAATTGCTGCTGCAGTTCTAGCAGCTTTATGAGCCACAGCTCCTTAATGACGAGAGGAGTGCCAGGATGATCAGTCTCAAGCAGCAGCTTCCCAGGTTTTAGGATCAATACAGAAGTCTTTAAATGAGGTCTGGAGGTTTTCCATGAAACGTTTCTTCTGTCGACTTTGAGAGTGTTTTCCTTTTGATAGCTAGCTCACCATAGAAAATTCTTTTTTGGCAGTCAGTGTTCAGGCATGCAGATTGTATGACCTGCCCAGCAAAATTGTGATTGTTTAAGAATCAAGTGAATACTGGGCAGTCAAGCTCTGTCAAGGACTTCAGCGTCAGAGATCCCTTTTTGTCATTTTATGTTCAGCAACTTTCTGAGGTATACTGTGTGGAAATGGTTTAAATAGAATAAACAGTACATTACAAGAACAAAGGTTTGCATATGAAGTGCTAACACACTGTCTGGCTATAAAATATTGAGAATGGTTTTATTATGGTTAACTAAGACAGAAGTGTCAACTATGAAGCAAAGCAAATAATCCAAACAGCCATCATTCCTCTGTGATTTGGCAAAATCGCAGTGTTACCTGGTCAGCAGATATCAGATAACCAGCTATTTTGTTCAGCTAGTGAGAGTTGCTATGTTATGTATCTTCTAGCATGGAGCAAAAAGCAAACATTAATTACTGATTTAAACTTGCAAAGTGCCACTGAAACAGTTGAACTAACAAAACAAGTTTATGGGGATCAATGTTCATCTTGTACACATATATTCAGATGGTATTCATGGTTCAAAACTGATATGGAAAAGATAGAAGGTGAAGCTAGGCTGTAATGTGCACTTTCTGTTCATAATGATAAACTCTCTTCCAATGTTAGAGAATGGATACACAAAGAAAGATCGATATCTGACTGTCAGGATGATAACCGATGAATCTGATATGGATTATGATAAACATTGATCCTTAAAAACTTGTCACATCAATGCAACCATCTCAGTAGCACCTTTTCTAATTGAAAACATAGTTTAATGATCACTCTTTGCTCCATACTGCCATACTGCATTAGCAACAATGCAACTCTCACTTGCTAAAGAAAATGGCAGGTTATTTGTCACTGGGTAGAATTACAATTTTGTTGGGACAAAAATGAATACTACTTGTTTAGGGGAATAATGTTAGCCAAGATAACTTGGAATATTTTCAAGTGTAGATTACACAAGATGACTATCACGATTATTTGAAGGGCACACATAAAAGTATTACACTTAACAATCTAAACTTCTGCGATTATTACAAAAGAGATCAGTCCTTTGCAGAAACTTGCACCCATAACAACCCTACAACAAAATTCTTGATCACAAGCAAGATGTCCTGTGTCCAATACACCCATCTGGAGATCATCTGCCACATCCTGCACCCATCTTCTCTTTGGCCTTCCTCTTTCTTTCTTCCCAGGCATCTACCCCTCCATTATTGTTCTCTCTAAACTTTCGTGACATTTCAAGTGACCAAAATATTTCAAGTTTTTCAATTTCACGAAAGATGCAATAATAAATAATCAAAAGTAATTGGCAAGCATTAAATGGGTACCAGGTAAAGACATGGGAAGTATAGGTGGCTGGCATGATGTTGACCATGATGTTGTTTATGTGTGCCGTGTACAGGTCTACTCGCTGTGCAGTGTAGTGCCAGAATCATGTAACTTCTACATAATTAGGTTTACTATTTTTGGCCGCCCATCCACACATTTCTGTAGCCAACCAGTGGTCTGTGGACTGACTGCTGAGAATCACTGGTTTAAATTATGCTTTTGTATAATGAAGATGTCTTGATAGAGAGATGAACTCACAAGAAGAGCTGGTTGCCTGCATCAGTAAAGGACAGTTCATATACTTTGGGAATGTCACAGAAAAGGGTGGAGAAAAAAAAAGTCGGGGGGGGGGGGGGGGGGGCTGGTAAGAAACTAGAGTTAGTCACTGTGGTAGGAAAGTTGGAGGGGAGGAGAGAGACAAGAGAAGAATGTTGGGCTATTCGGTATAATGACAAAAAGGAACATATGTCAGAGCTGAACACTGCTGATTATCCAGTGAGATTCAACGATTATAATTATTATAAGCATACAGGTGACTGAGGCTGATGCAATTCTGGAAAGTTCTTGGGTAGAATGGACGGTAGATTCCAAACATACTAAACAGGTGACCCAGGCTAATGTGAGTTTGGAAAGTTCTTGGGTAGAATGGACACCAGACGATAGACATACTAGTGGAGTTTGCACCTATGAACTATCTTGCTTTCTCTATTACTTGGTCCATGCAAGTTCTGCAGTCTCAAAGGTCACCGCACAGTGATGTCTCAAATAATCACCAAACTCATTATATAAGTCTCTAAATCAACTTTTGAAAAAAAAATCCTTTTTACATGACACTGGGAAACCATATGTAATCAAGAATATTAAAGTTTACCTTAAATCCAGTGGAATCTTTCACTTTAGTCATTGCAGCAATATGGCCTTTAGCAAGATCTGTAATGTGGATGTAATCTCTGACTCCTAGACAAAATATAAGGAAAAGTTACAATCCTATTTACATATGTCTCTGAGCATTGGGCTACAGTCTGTTAACAACAAGATATGCAAAACCTCTCAGGTACATTTGATCAATGGAGGCCTAATCCCAGCCAGTAAGCATGTTGACAAATTGACATTTATGAGTTAGCCCTCTGTCTTAATATGCCTTGAATCAACAAGAATAATAAACCGAACAGATCACCAAACACCACCCCTTCCCATCATTGTTTTTCATTCTACATAATGAGAAGAGCAACATTATTTTATTCAGTTATAACATAGAGGAGATACCATATGTGTGTGTGTCGATGACATTAGTGAATTCTCACTATACATTGTTTGCATTTTCCCTTAAATGAAAACAACTAATTAACATTATAGAGATATGCATCTAGAGTCATAAACTTTGTGGCTAAATTTAGCAACGAAGGGAGGTTTAAAGTTTGTACAATGAATCAACATCATGGCACATGGGTAGTAACCCACAAGTGCTCCATTCTACTTCTAACTCAAGCCTGAGTCAGAAGCATCTTAGCGCAGTGCACGAACTCTATAGCACCGACAAAAAACTAAGAGACAGCAACAAAGGGAGAAGATTCTGGGGCATGTAAATACTGCATGCTGACCTACAGCTACTAGGGAAGCAGGAGGGCTCTGCATGTTTACAAGAAAAATTAGTTTTTCTAGCAGACAGGACACAGATGTATGTCAGAACCCACCTTATAGTCTCACATCTATCTTCAATTGCTGAAAATCCAAAAATAAATTCCCTGTTCCTTGTTTGTGGCACAACTTGCTAATGCCTCAAGAAGACGGCAAGGATGGTCACAGATGATGACTATGATGTGTCCCTGAGGGAAGTTTGTAGTTTTGTGTCGTGGCTAACCATCAACATCAATTTCAGGTGAGCCTCCCCGGCTGTTTATTGTATTTCTTCAGTGTGCCTGTCTGTGGCAGTTGGCACTAAGGCAATCTTGTCAGGTGGTTCAACTTTTTGATCTGTGATTCTTTAATGAAGAGACAGCATTAGACAGAAAGTTGGAAAAAGACCATGCCTGGATTATTCTGACAAACATAGAATGAAGTGGTTTGGCCATCTGGTGATAATGCAGCCACACCAAACTGCATATGAGACATTTTACAGCAGAATATCTGGAAGGAAATGAGAGGAAGACCAAGAAAGAGATGGATAAATGGTGTATCTGAAATCAGCAAAACAGATTAACAAATCCATCGCCCAAGCCACCCGAGAAAGCCAGAAAAACACAGAAAACCATGACGCTGGGCTACAGCCTTGTCTTAGTGAGAGGACAAAAGAAGATTCCTTAATGTATTCTACTATTGATATCAATTCTAATCTTCTTATGTCTTCTTTTTTGGGGGGATCTACACAATCAAATTCAGCAATCCTGGATCATGATTAAAATGCCAACTCTCCCTCTGCTTGTCAGCAAATGTGGCCCACAATCCACTATATGAAGATAGATAAAATTTAAAAAAAAATTAAAGCAACCTTTAGCTGTCTTGGACATATACCTTTATTTTATAGACTAATCAGCGCTAAGTGGATGATGTAGTCAGCATTATTTTCTAAAACATGAACTCATGACCTTCCAATCCACAGATGAATGTCTGGGGGCTACATAACAGTCATCAGCTCTCGTTATGCCTAGTGGCACATGAGGCTTCAGAGAGGACTTTCCATGCTTTCCTGTCCTGTGCAATCTTCAGTGCAGTTTTCCATGTTAAAGATGCCACACTCAGGTCACTTTCCATCGTTCGTCTCCATGTTGTTTTTGCGAGCCCCTTTTTTCTCTTTCCCTCTGGTATCCATGTGAGAGCTGTTTTGGCAGATATATCAGGATTCATTCTCATAACGTGGCCAAGCCATTTCCATCTTCTCTTGGTTATCATACTGTCTAGAGTTTCTTGATTTGTGACTTGAAGTAGTTTAGTGTTTGAGATTGTATCTGGCCAGAAAATTTTGATAATTCTACGTAGACATTTGTGGTGGAAGGTGGACAGCTTGTGTACATCTTTTTTGGTCATTCTCCAGTATTCTGCTCCATAAAGTAGAACTGGCAAAATGATGCTCTTGTAGAGTCGGAGTTTTGTTCCTCTGCAGTAACTGTTGGATTTCCAGATTTGCCTCATCCTTCCAAAAGCAGCTCTAGCTTTGTTCAGGCGTGACTGTATGTCTTCCTCTGTCCCTCCCAGTATGGACACCACACTGCCAAGATATGTGAAATGTTCTACATTTTCAAGAGTTTGGTTACTTATGGTCACTGGTTGTTGGTTTGGACTGTTTGTCATGACCTTAGTTTTCTTTGTATTTATTCTCAGTCCCACCATTTCTGCTGTGCTGTGTAGTCTGTTACTTTTCTCTTGTATATGTTGATTTTTTTATGTGATAGGAGTGCTGTATCATCTGCAAAATCAAGGTCCTCAGGCATGGTGAATGGGGTCCACTGTAGGCCTTTCAATGTCTTGTCTACTGTGTTTTTTAGTATCCAGTCAATCACAAGGTTGAAAAGGAGAGATGACATGACACATCCCTTTCTTACATCTGTCTTTACTGGGAAAGATGTATTGTAATTTTTTATACTGCAGGAAAAGTCTTTATAGAAGAGAGCAATTATGCTGACTATCTTTTTTTAAAATCTGGAATTCCATAATGTCGTAAAATTTTCCAGAGACTGTCTCTATGGACGCTGTCAAAAGCTTTCTCAATGTCCACAAAATTAATATATATACTTCTCTGCCATTCATTGCATTGTTCTAAAATGTTACGTATGGTGAAAATGTGCTCAGTTGTTCCTCTGCCCTTTCTGAATCCTGCTTGTTTCACTCGTAGGCATTTATCTACTCCTTTTTCAAGCCGCATTATGATGATTTACAAAATATTTTGCTTGGTACTGAGAGTAGAGTAATTCCCCTCCAATTATTGCAGTCTGTTAAATCTCCTTTTTTTGGGGATTTTGACTATTGTTCCTACATTCCAGTCATCAGGCAAGTCTTCATTTTCCCAATTATCCTTAAGCAATGGTTCTAGAATGTTAGCAGATGTGTTGGGATCTACTTTGAGAAGTTCTGCTGGCAGTTCGTCTTTGCCTGGTGCTTTGTTGTTCTTTAAAGTGTGGATAGCTTTAAGGATTTCTTGTTTGCTTGGTGGTTCAGTAATAATGTCAATGTCCTGAGAGGCTGGTTGAATATCTGGGGGATGTTCAGGATCAGGTCTGTTCAAGAGGTCGGAGAAGTGTTTAGTCCACTGCATGTCTTGTTTTTGTTCTGTGGTGAGCAGTCTGCCTTGGTTATCTCTGATGGGTGTGCTGTGATAATTGTTTCTGTTTCCGCAAATTTGCTGGGTAATTTTGTGTAGGGTTTGTAGATCATGTGCTTTAGCAGCATTATCTGCTGTTTCTGCTAGATTTTCCATAAATCTTCTCTTGTCAGTTCTGGCACTTGTCTTTACCATTTTATTTAGTTCGCTATATTCTAACATCAATTTGTCTTTCTGACGTTCTGATTTAGTGTGATTTATGCGGTTCTTTATTCTTTTTCGCTTGTCAATATACTCCATGGTTTGACTGCTTATCCATTCTTTGTGGTGTTGTTTCCTGGTTCCTAATATGTTATTGCTAGTTGATTTGTATGTTTCTTTGATCTGGTTCCATCTGTCTTGAATGCTGATTGCAGTTTGACTGTCTAGGCCACCTGATAAGAGTTTGAAATCTATTCTTGAGTTCTTCTACATAACAGTGACTTGCAGATAATAGATAGGCAGGTTAAATTATTATGTACAAATATAATAATAAAACTGGATGAACTCAAGTGAAGAAATAAGATAAATGCCTGGGTAACCACAAGTATCAACAGTTACAAGACAGAGAAGATGGCGCCACATTGGACTCATTCTGAGAAGAGACAAACAGAGAATCATCAAACGGGCACTGACATAGCAAAATGAGGGAATGAGGAAACAAGGATGACCAAAGACTCCCTCAAGCAAACAATGATCAGAGAAGCCACAGCTGCTGTACTGTAAGGAATCCATGATATCGAAGTGACTGCACATGACAGAACGGAATATAGAAATAAAATGGACTTCCCCGTGTGGGTTCCGGGGCCCCATTGTGGGAAAAACAAGAATAGACCCACTGCCTACCCAAAAGCATGTCGTAAGAGTCGACTAATTGGGAGCTTCCTTTGAAGTCGGAGTGCATCTGCCTGAGGGGCAAGGAACCACCAGTCTGCATTCAAGTGAATCAGATCTGTAAAACTGATGCACATGCAACACTCAGGTTCTGGAGTAGGACTGCAGTCCAGGAGTGGACGAACAACCAGAACTTTCCACCACATTTTACAGCTGGTGAATGTGAAGAAGAAGAAGAAGAAATGGACTGAAAGCCTTATGTAAAGGTATTTTAGCACAACAGAACAATTCTATGAATGAATTATGATAAAAATAAAGATTGTGCCAAAGCAGAAATTGTCTTTGTGATGTGAAGCATTAGGCCTTCCAACATTTTAGGCCATAATTTATTGTGTGGGATATCCAATTACCTTCCTCATTGCCTGTCTTCTGAAAATTCTTCAAATTATGAGGTTCTTGAAATAAATATTATAAAAGTGTGAAGGAAATTACAATAACCATGTCATTTTCTTTTTACTTGACAATACTTTTATTAAGGATGTCAAGAGTGTTAAGCATGTGACATCATGGTACTGACAAACATGGTAACATCAGAGTGACAGCTTAAAGATGGCTGTCCTCCTTTTTGATATGCACCAAAGAGTTTCAGCAATCTGTTATCTATTTTTTTTTTAAATCGGGGAAGGGGTAAAACCTAGAGAATTCATTGGCAAGTTGAGCTGAGTTGAGTTAAGTTGAGTCAAGAATTGACATCACAGCACTCGGGGCTTTTTCCATGCATGCTCCATACTCATCTTCAGCAGCCTGCACAGAGTTCCAAAACTGATGGTACCTGTCACAGTCTGGTTATATGTCCGTCTTATGTCCTTTCCTCTGAGTGTAGTGAGCTGGCCAGACCCTCTGGGTACACCCAGATGCCTCATTCTCTCCAGGCCATAATAATTTTGTTTCTCTACTAATGCCGTTGCTTGTTCCCAAAGGGCCTTGACCACATCTGCCTTGTCAAGTACAGCCAATCCGTCTGCCTGTTCATTACCTACTACGCCTGCATGGCCTTGCGAAAAGATCTAAAGTATACTACTATCTGTGAACAGCAAATTAAGGTCCAGTATAGTGACGCATGCCTGTCAGTGCAGCAAGTGTATGAATGGAGTAGAACGTTTCAAAACGGCACGACTTCTGTAACAGAGTGTTCTCAGCCTAGTCAGGCACAGTCAAATTTTGAACACTCTTGACATCTTTAACAACAATATTGACAGGTTACAAGACAGTGGCATGCTGCTTATAATTTCTATCACACTTTTAAGGTCTTCATTTGAAACTACCTCCCATCTGTTACCCATTTTTAGATAATATGACGGATGAAACGCCTGAATTATGGCTCTACATTTACCTGTTCCATCATGGGTGTTGTAGTCATCGCCAAACACTAGCAGCTCAGATCTCTTCCCAATAGCCACCTGAGACACAAACGGTGTCAAGTTGTTAGGGATGCCCTGGGGATCCTCTCCTATCATGCCAGAACTGTGAGCTCCAACAGGATTGAAGTATCGCAGCACCATAACACTCCATTCCTGCACAAAACAATATTTTGACCTAAATACATCTTTATGTTTCAGTTTCAGTCTTATTTGCTTGTTTTGCCTTGCTTATATTCACAGATAAAAATAAGATGAAAAACAACACTTACCACAAGGCAGATGACAAAAGAGGAGAGGAACACAGAGCATGAGGTAGACCAAGAATAATATGGAAAGGCTTCAGATAAACTCCACAATAGCACAATGTGACCATTATCAAGATGGCTAGAAGAGCAACAAGCAGAACCTGATTTCTCCTTGGATACCTAAAGTGGTAACATAAGAAGTGAAAAAGATCACTTTGGTAACATAAGAAGTGAAAAAGATCACTTATGTGATAACAGCATGTGAGTTCTTTTTGCCTACTGAACAAGGGGATAGAAATGATGAGGGAATATCCGAAGTACAGATGAATTCCTCCTTCATCAATCATCATCAATTAGCAAGTCTTTTACTGAACATCACTCTCTTCATGGCACGCCTGAAAGTATCCCTTTCCCTAGCCAGGTCTCCAGCCCCATGTGCTTTCAATGCCAATGCATCTTCAATGTCTTGTATCCATCTTCGCTATGGTCGACCCCTGCCTCGCCTTCAACAAGCTGCACCCTCCATCACCGTCTTTCCCAAGCCACCATGACGCTTGATGTGGTCAAAATACTTCAACTTTTGGGACAGGATGCTGTTTATAAACCAGTTCTCCCTGATGTTCAACTCTTTTAGAACGTCAATTTTTTTTTCCTCTTCTTGATCCATTGTATTCAAAGAATTTGTCTATAAACATTTCAGTTCAAAAGTTCCGATCCTTCTCTTCAGTGACTAAGGACGTAATTTTTTGTTATTTGAAGCCCCACTCTGGCTTTTGCCAGGGGCCGCAATATAGGCAGGTCATCATTATGGCCAAATGTCTGAACGCGGTTTCTGGGACCTCTCCACGGTGATCCTCATCCGCATGGTGGCACTTTGTGTCATCGGGTGTTTATCGCTTGTGTGATGTCCTGGTGGGGTAAAAAAAATCCAATCCAATCCAGAGTCCAGGACTCGCAACCACAAGTTGCCACAGGAAAAATTCACGATCTCAAGATTTGTACTTTAACCAATTTACTAGCACTTTGCCATAGGTTCTTCATTCATATCAATTCTTCTTACAGTCCATGACAACGGTGTCAGGGTCTTGTGTGGCTGTGTGTATGATGATAGTGAGGTCTTGGGGAATGACTCCTATGGTAGAATAGAAAACTGTTTGTCTCATGGTGCGAAGAAAGTTGTGGAGAGGACAATTGGTGGGAGACAGTAGAGGGAGATGGCGGAATTTTGTCGACTAGTTTTGTAACTTTTTCTACAGTATAGGTCAATGTGACAGTTAGATTAGCAGGACAAATGCTGGATTTCATAGAGTTGTGTGATTAGAACAGTCTAGAGTTTATGTTTAACTGACTGTGTAAAAACAAAAACAGCATAGCTGACCAAGAGCGGATAAATTATCTAGTGCAGAATCAGTGTAAGCTTAAGGTATTGTGAGTTTAGAAATTCTATTATTTACAGAAGGTATCTGTTGCATGCTGATTTGGCAGAGTGTAATACTGTGTGAAGGGACAGAGTGGTATGACAGTACTGTGAGTTCAAGGGGAATAGTCTCAACATGGGCCCGTGTATTGAGGAAGAGAGAATGTTGACCAGTGAAAATGTATTATCATGAACAAGGCGTGTTTGCATGAGAAAGTAGACACGTGGGTTACTGTGTGGGAGATGACTTGCATGGATAAGGAGACCCACAGAGAAAGGGTGAATTACGGGACAGCATGATTCTTATGTAACATCAGCCACCCACATAAACGTGATCCTCAAGAACACCCACATGAGCATGAGTCTCAAGAACGCCCACATGAGCATGATTCCCGAGAACGCCCACATGAGCGTGCCTCTCGTGTAAACATCAGCCACCCACATGAGTTCAACAGGGATAAATTGGGGCTGCGTAGACAGTCTAGTCAGTGAGCAGTAGCCACAGGGCTAAAGCACTGGGGTAGTGCGGGTGTTGTACACACCCAGCAAGAGGATGCTGCGAGTCAGAGTCCAAGACAGAGTATTAAGAAACCATCAGACATCAAGGTCTGTGTAAGGGTTTAGTGAAGGCAGACAGAGTACCGAGCAGCTATCAGGCATTAAGGTCTGAGTAAGTGTTGTGGTATGGAGTGCAGACAGGGTACCGTGCAACTATCAGGCATTAGGGTCTGAGTAAGTGTTGTGATCACGGTACTGGTCGAAGTTATAGTCCCGCTGGCGAAGTAAGTCCAAGGGGACTGGATGCTCCAATAGTAACTGTTCTGGGTGATGGCGCAAGGAGACGTAGGATCACCATGGAAACAGAAGAGTAGGGATGCCGACGAGATCTGTGTGCTAGAGGGGACTTGTGTTAGAAGTCCTGTCAGTCATCGGAGTCCTTCGACAGGCTGACGTGCTGTGTGCTTTGGAGAACGGCAAGGGAAGTCCGTCTCCAGTTAGCCGTGGTTGTCTGCTAACGTAATATCAAGGTCCAGTGGATAGGAGAGTTCGTCCTACAAGTTGAGAGCGAGTGGGGACTATCTGGACTATGCTCAAATGTCAGTTGGGATCAATGTCTACATCTCTGCAGTTGTGTCTTGTGTTCTGTCAAATAAACCCAGTGTATGACGGAACTATTGTCGTCGAGTCCTGCTTCTAGAGTGAGAAAGCGAAAGTTAAATCTTTAGACACTTGGAAGTCTGCTGATTAGTGTGTAACTCAGATAGCAATCAACAATATCATTCTGCTTGATAGCAACAAGTCAGAAAGAACCACAGGAATCAATAGATACAGTGGTAGTAGAAAGTGATAAAATGGGCCTCAGTTTGAATAATGGGAAGACAGAAGTTATGGTGATTTCCAAGAAACAATAGTGCCAACTAACAAATAGTTTAGATATATTCTGCACTCATCTCTCTTTACTTTAACCTATTAAATGTCTCTATACAGCCAATAATTTTTCTTCAGGAAGGTTTTAACTTTGTCACGTTGCAGTAAAAAAAATTAGGCTCAAAATTAATGCTGTCCAAACCCTAGAAAAAATGTAGTCCTGAAAAGAGTTAAATGCAGCAAACCAAGGCTGCAACCTGGTTTATGACAGAATATAACTGAAAGAAAGTGTCTGAAGTTGTAAATAAATTGTAAATAAAAAAAATAAAAAACACAATTTAAAAACTTTTTTTGACAGTACCGGTTTGATCCTGCATATATCAAATAAAATCTCCTCCACAAAATGCTTGGATTTTGCATAAGGACTTGTACAATTTCCTACAGGATGTTTCTCATCCATGGGCAGATAGACTGGGTCACCATAAACAGTTGCTGAGCTGGAGAAAATGATCCGTGTCACTCCTTTCTCACACATAGCCTGCATATAAAAGGTAAATTAGTGACAAATAAGTTGGAAGAATGAACAAAACACAAAAGAAACTATAGAACTATAGCACGTTAAGATTTTATTATGTCATAAAGATAATTTTATGTAGTGGGTTTTCCTCTCTAGGGCGTTTGCATCAACTCTTACGAAAACTAATGTGGTATAAAGTATGTCAACAATCATACATTTTTGTACCAGAATACTCTGTTGTAAAAGAGAATGAACATGTGGTTGGTTTGCTGGCAGAGCCATGGTAAGCATAGGAAAAGCAACAGACTGAGCTGATGTTTTCAATGCTCCCAGGAGGTCAAGACAAGTAGATGATTCTGCAGACGACAGTAAATTGGCAACTCTTTAGAAGGCTACAAGAACTTCATGTCAAAAGAGGTGTTGCTAAACAATATGCACGTAGCCAAAGAAGAAAGTAAAATAACACAAAACTTGTGTTCACAGTCGCCACACGTTGAGGAAAATACTAAAGATAGGGTCCGATTGCTTATGAAACTGTCTAATGGGCAATGAGAATGACTGGTCGGTTAACTAACTAACAAACTAACATTTCAAAGTGTTTTAACTAACAAACACACATTTTAAATCATGTCAACCAACTTACAAAACTACATTTTAAAATGTCCCCACTAACTCACAAACTTACAGTACAAATTGTATAAACTAAATAAAAAACTTTCACCTTTTGAAAGGTCTCAGTAATTAAATGTGCATGTTTCAAAGCCTCTCAGTTAACTTATGAGCTTCAGTTAACTTATGAGCTTGATGTTTTGAAATAAACAAACTAATTCACCTCAATCAGGTTAATGGTTCCTAGGACATTAACCCTGTAGTACAGCAGTGGCTTCTCCACAGACTCTCCGACAGCCTTCAGAGCTGCAAAGTGGATTACAACTGAGATCTCTTTGTGCTGTGAAGACATATAGTATAGTTATAGTTCATATAATCTAATGTGAAGAATAAAAACAAAAGTATCAAATGATACTATTTTGTATAAATTATTACTGTATTCTTTTGTGTGTAAGATGATATATTTTCTAATATTTTTCAAGTTTAAAATTGGAGGTCACCTTATACATGGAATCATGGATGGGTCAGGCCAAGGACATTATTCAGCAGGTGAGGTCATAGAACCTGGGGAGGGACAGGTACAAGTGCCAACAAAGTGCAGTACAACCTTTTCTTTTTGCATCCATCTAAACAGAAAATGCAGACAAGAAAGTCCGGTCGCTGTTGAGGCAGAAGTGCGGGCTTTGATTTTTGAAAATTCTCTACAGGGGGATGCTGTCACATACTCAGATGGATCAGTAATTCGTCATGTGAAGAGCTCTTGGGCTCTTATGGCTCAGGTTGGAGTTAGAATTGTGAAGCAAGATTCTGGTGCTGTTGCCTTGACCCCAAGTAGTCTGACTTTAGAAGTTATGGCAGTGACCAGAGCAATAGCATGGCTGGAGACACAGACTTTTTCTCATGCATGCTGTCTCAAGGACTCAATGAGCATACTCAAGAAGATAGAACAGGTCAGATCTTAAGACAGTGGTTGGAGTCTCTAAAGCGGTCGGAGCTGACACACATCAGTTTCATATGTGTGCCAGGGCACGCAGGCTTGCAAGGAAAATAGCTGGCAGATGGCTTGCAGGTAAAGTTACTGTGGAGGGCAGACAAGCCTTGAACCATACTGATATTCTGAATGCTCTACAAGAAGTAAGACGTAATGCAGGAAACAAGTGATGACTGTGAATCTGCAACCATGATCAGACTGCAAGAACAACATGTGGCCAGAAAAGAGCCCTATGCTGGAAGCCAAAGAATAATAAGAAACCAACAAAAAACTGGTGTCAGGAGCCCCTATTCACTGCAGGATTTACTAAGCCGGGATCCGAGCACTTATAGACTGAATAATTAGATGTTCAATGAGGATCATCTGTCGACTAACTAACTAACTTATAAACAGAATGTGATTAAAATATTTATTTCTTAATTTTGGGATAAACAAAGTTAGTGGCTGTCTTATACATGAGTGCATCTTATACATGGCAAAAATATGGTATATTATTTTCTGGGGAGCTATGGTGGTGTAGTGGCTAGATACTTGCTAGCTGGCTCAAAGGTCTAGTTTTCAAATCCGCATCCAGGCAGAATGTTTACAAATAAATGTATCTCAGCTTTCAGGTTGACCTAGGCTTAAATGGGTACCAGATAGTCCTTTGAAGTAAAGATGGCTATCATGATGTTGATTACATCAACCACCAAGTGCCGACTGGGTAAATAAAAACATACACGTAGTACTATTTTCCCGGTGCACGAAAAGTGTGAAAAATCCTTTACTTATAATCTTTTCCTCATTCGTTACTATCTTTACATAGCTTATTGTTATGATTTTATCTAAAATCAGCTTCAATCTTAAGTAAAAAAAAAAAAAAGGTAAAGTCGGGAGATGTGAATCAGCGCCATTGCACACGGTTATAAACCATAAGTGCTCTGCCACGGACAGCTGATAAGAATTGTCCGCCTGTGTCGCTGTTCGCACATAACTCTGTAGCTATAGCGATGTTCCTCCATTTACCCCAGAGTATCACTATGGTACCCATTTTCTAGAGGCTGGGTGAACCCCGGGGGCCGCCCGGTTTTGAACACCGACCGTGAGTTGCAGCGAGTCGCAGTTGAATTTGAAAGCAAGCTTCTTATCGACTACGCTAATGCGGCCCCCTAATTCAATCTTAAGTCTGAACCATTACCAACCTAGGGCAAATTTCAACTACACAGAATGGATTGACAGCATCCAGAAGTTCTACCTCAAGAAACTATCTTGGTTGTACACATTGAGACATGCCAGAGTGAAAGGAAATGAGCTGACAGACAAGGTGTCTGCAGTGGTTGGTGGAGGTGGAAGTATGGACAGGGCGGACATAATTTTATGCTGTGTTCCACAGATGTTGAGACAAAGGAGTCTGCGATGATGAACCCCCTGCTGGAAATGGTATATAAAACAAGGACATGCATGCGGAAAGTGGTGGCAAAGGCAAAAGAATGAAGATATGCTAGTCAGCTTCTGCTGAGATGGCTGCTGCATCCGAGGATGCAACATGAATGGGTTGGACCAATTTGCTAGGATGTTCATATGGATAACAAGTAACATTACCAACCTATGACAAATTCTATCAGTATTTGTTCAGCTGAATCATGTCCTGGTTACATCTTAAAAATAAGTAGACAGCAATACCAACAGGAGGACAACATTGAGAGATGGACCATATCAGACTGAGACAGTACGCAACCAAGACCAGAGACAATGAGAATTCATGGTGGAGATGGAACCTGACCGATTATCTCCTAATATACAATTCCACAGAGCTGAAATTCCAGCATCGTTCTTGCACACTCTGCAGGTTTCTGGCTACTACTTGATGATTTGAAATCCCAGTGGCCTGAAGAGCCACATTTTGGATGGCAGTCTAACAGACCAAATTCCAGACGATCCATTCAACCTCCACAAAAGTTATTTTAGGGATCCCATAAGAACTACACCAAGTGCTCTACCAAGGTGCACCTGCTGTAGAAGAGGGGTAAGGGTGAGTGATCATTGTAATAGTATACTAATTAGTCAGCCAAGAGATCATCCTCAATGCACATAAATCCAGCTAAAATTATCATTCATCTAATTAATTATTGTTTTTTTTTTTGGGTGTGACCACAGACACTAAGGTGTTTTATTTATCTACTACCTATAGTCTATAAAAACTTGGTAGCATTTTTCTCAAAGTTACAGTGTAATTGTGCCCTGTTTGTAAAAGACTGCACCCTCTATACAAGTTACATAAATGTTCATGAACTCGAATGCTCTTTATTGATAAAATCATTTACATGTATGAAACTTGATGCTTGTGTGTTTGTCAGTCTAGTTAGTTAGTCGACAAATCATCCCTGCTGCATCAGTCCATAAGTGCTCAGATCCCCTCCTCAGTAAATCCCACAGCATGTAGCAGCTTAGGACAACAATTCTATGGTGGTTGATTCTTCTTCTTCTCTGGCTTCTTGCATGGTATTCTTGTCTAGCCTGACCTGTTTTCACTTGCTGTTCTTGCAGTCAGGTCATGGTTGCAGATTCTCTCAAACGTCTTGCATCTTGTTGAGCATTTACCACATCAGACTGGTCCATTCCTCATCGACCCTCCATATTAGTCTTACACGCAAGTGTACGAGCGTGTTCACACAAGTGTTCTTCAAGCATATAACAATATGGTCCACAATGCTGTATGTTTCAATAAATAAATCTACCTTGCTAAAGACATCCAGAACATCATTCTTATTCAGCAAGTCAACATCATAACAAGGTATAGATGTATTTCTCAAGGACTCAATGCGCTTGATGCTTTCTGTAAAAGTATTTAAAAAATGCTTACATTTGTAATTTAAAGGATGCTGCAGAATCAACCTCAGCTTTGTTTTTTGTTATTTTGTTTTCATTTTACTTAGCAATTTTACATTCAGTAGTTTGTCATTGTATTGACATCTTAAACGATCTGAACATCAAGGAAGATTGGCTAATAAACAGCATCCTTTCTCGAAAGCTGAAATATTTTGGTCATATCAAGCACCACAACGGATTGGAAAAATTTATAGCAGAAGGCATGGTACCAGGAAGGAGGGGCAGAGGCCTACCAACACGAAGATAGGCACAGGATATAAGTGACTCCTTGAGTGTGAAAGTGCATGAAAAAACTGGTGAGAGACCGAGTTTCATTTAGGCAGACTGTGATGTGAGTGACGGTCTGCAAAGGACCTGCTACATGATGACGATGAGTTTGTCATTGCTCTCTAAATGGTCAGCTCCCAATAAATGCAAACTGATCTGCTGCCAAATCACCCACAGCTGGAACTGAATCCAGCATCCTGGACACCTAAGCCACAGAAACTGACAGTAAATGTGCTATATCAAGACCCAACACAATAGCAACGTATAACTTTTTTAACAGTGAAAAGATGAAAAATGTAATAGTACAGATGAAGGAACAAACTCTATTTTCAGATGGTTAAGAATTGGGAATGCAAGTCTCATACATTCTACCTCTCTTGCCTTACTCTTTACATACATTATTTCACTCACACATTATTTGACAGACAATGTATACCATCAATATATAAGTCTTAATTACAAATGCTCAAATGTGTTCAAATATACCCAACATTCTGGACAACAATAATAATAATATTAGTAATAATAATACTAAGTACAGTAAATGTAATAAATATACGGAAAATATACAATGTGGTTATGAATATGTATCAAGATCTACCGGCCTCTCCAAAACAATCGTACAAGGCTGTTTAGTAAGGAAATGGAGAACAGGCAGATCAAGAAATGTAGCTAGCTGGACAGACTTAAAATATGCAAAAGTTCATTGCTCCTGACAAGTAGAGGTTGAGGTAACTGATCAGACATTCACAGCAACTGGTGACCCGGCATGATACGATATTATAGGATGTCTATCAGAATATTATGCAAAAATAAAAACGTCTCTGGCCGTCAAGATTCCCTGTTATCCCTAAGAGTGTTTTATTTGTACAATTTATTAAATTCATTCAGTTTTTGTTTTTGGAAAACACAGAGTATGTGTCAGTTTGACAGAACCTGATTTCAATAACGGAACAAAGGATATTGTGGTTACAAGCCTTCATCAGCGAACAACAATAGGAAACACAATCTTAGCTAACTAATGATGTATTTTACATAAGTTACCTAATGCTGTATTGTACAATAGTTAACTAATGCTGCATTCTACATTAGTTAACTAATGCTGAATTTTACATTAGTTAGCTAATGCTGAATTTTACATTAGTTAACTAATGCTGTTTTCTACATTTACTAAAAATGCGGCATTTTAAATTTGACTAAATGAAACCTGTATT